CCCCCCCATCCAAGCTGCCCTCAAACCACGGTGCCCCCCCAACCCTTCCGCTCACCCCAAACCTCTCCACGGACCCCCATCTCCCTGCACTTCCCAGCCCTGCACCCCCAACCCGAGCAGAATCTCCTTTCTACCCCCCCCCGTCCCCCATCCCCTCACCCTGGAAGCCATCCTGGTTGATGTCCCCTATGCTGGCGATGGCGAAGCCGAAGGCGGAGTAGCTGGGCCCCGTGAGCTCCAGGCTGGGCTCGGGCTGGAAGCCCCCAGCCTCATTCATGTACACATAGACGGCCCCCCCCACCTCCTGCTTCCGCTTGAAGTAGTAGGGGGCTCCCACCACCAGGTCCTGCCACCTGCAGGGACAAGGGGCTGTGACACAGGTTGGCATCCCATGCACCCCTAAGGGAAGGGGACCCCCTCCCCAAAAGAGCTGAGAGCCTTCCCATAACCATCAAAAGATCACTCCCCCCCCCCACCCCCATTACTGGGATGGCAGACCTCCCAGTGGCCAAAGCTGCAAACCCCCCCCGTGCTGTGACCCCTCTCTGAGCTGTGTGCCTCAGGATGGCCCCCACCAACTCCCACAGGTCTCCCCCCACACCGTGACCCACTCCTCCGAGCTATAGGGTGCATGTATATGCTATGGGGATATACCAACCCCCCCAGATCTCCCACCAGGCTGTGACCCACAGAGACCCCTCCCCAGGACTAACCCCTCCCAGTCTCCCCCCACATTATAACCAACAGAGACCCCCCCCATACTCTGGGGTACCCCAGGACCAACCCTCCAAACCCCACGCTGTGACCCACAGAGACCCCTCTGTGCTGGGACTTCTCCAGGACTCACTCCCCAACCCTCCCCACACCACGACCAAGAAACCCTTTGGCACTATGGGGTGCTATGGGGTGCCCCAAGACCAAACCTCCCCCCTCCCCCCCATACTTCCAGTTCTCCCCCACGCTGTGACCCACAGAGACCCCTCTGCCCTATGGGGTGCCCCAGGACCAACCTCCCCAGATCCCCCCCCCCCCATTCTGTGACCCACAGAAACCCCTCAGCGCCACGCAATGCCCCAGAACCAACCCCCCAAACCCCCCCACGCCGTGACCCACAGAGACCCCCCCGCACTGTGGGTTACCCCAAGCCACCCCCCTCCCCAACCACCCTCCCCTACCCCCACCCTCACCCATCATTGTTGAGATCTGCCAAAGCCACGGCGCTGCCGAAGTAGGAGCCGACCTGGCGGCCTCGCAGCAGCCCACTCCTCTGCAGGGTCTGCTGGGGGCTGGTGCTCAGCAGGTACACAGCCCCAGTGTGCTGATAGCGGGGGGCTCCGGCCACCACCGTCACCGCCTCCTGCTGCAGCACCCCGCTGCCCACCTCTGCTGCGTAACCTGCAGCCAAAGCACCGCTGCCAAATCCCCCCTGAACCCAACACCGCTCCCCTCCAACCCCCCTCCTCCAGCCCTGGGGGTCTCCCAGCCCCTCTGTGCCCAACTCCCACCTCCTCCAGACC